AATTGGAGAAGAACAAAGTAGTTTTGTTCTTGCCGACAAATTGTGGACAATATCGTGATTTATCAGGAGATGCTTCATTCCATGCGAACCAAGAAAGGAAAGACGGGCACCATGATCCTTAAGATTGACCTTGAAAAGGCTTATGATCGCCTTTCCTGGAACTTCATTAGAGAAACTCTAATGGAGATTGGCCTCCCTACTCATTGGGTTAATATCATTATGACTTGCATAGAAACTACCAAGCTTGGAATCCTTTGGAAAGGTAAACATCTTGACTGGATTGTTCCGACGAGGGGAATAAGGCAAGGCGATCCTATGTCTCCTTACATTTTTGTGTTGTGTATCGAGAGATTGTGTCACCTGATCAAACAGGAAGTAACAACTAAAAAGTGGAAAGCAGTCAAGCTGTCTAGGTATGGCCCTGAACTCTCTCATCTTTTATTTGCTGACGACATGATATTGACTGCAGAAGCTTCAGAAGAGCAGATTGAGGTAATCAAGAATTGCCTCAATAAATTCCAACAAATGTCGGGTCAACGGGTAAGTCTCCAAAAGTCTCAAATTTTCTTCTCCACTAATGTGGATAGGGAAACAGCGGACAAAATAACCCGAGCAGCGGGAATTACTAAGGTGGAGAATCTTGGAAGATATTTAGGTGTCCCTTCTATTCATGGTCGTGTAACCAACTCCCTCTTTGGCCCCATGATGGAAAAGGTGGAAAATAGGCTAGAAGGCTGGAAAGGTAAGCATCTTAATCTTGCAGGGAGAAAAATTCTTGCTCAGAGCGTTCTCAACACAATCCCCTATTACACTAAACCATGTATATTCCAAAAGGGGTTTGTGACACAATCGAGAGGAAAATACGTGGCTTCATTTGGAATCAAGGTACTCATCTGATTAAGTGGGATGTTGTTACAAAACACCGAAATCATGGAGGTTTGGGCATCCGCAAGACAAGAGAAATGAACCTCGCGTTTCTAGCCAAATTGGGATGGCGTATGATAAAAGGTAATCAAAACCTTTGGGCAAGAACAATAGTCTCTAAATACATGCAAAATAAAAACATTGAGCTTGGTGTAAGTTGGAAGCAAGGCGCCTCAAACATTTGGAAAGGAATTTGTGCAGCTGCACCTATTCTTAGCCAAGGGATCAGGAAAACAGTGAACTCGGGGAATGATACTCTTTTCTGGTTAGATGACTGGCTGGGAAATGGAACAAGATTGCTAGAAAGTGAAGAGAATAACTCTTTCAGTAGTAACACGGTGAGAAACTACTGGATCCAAGGAATTGGTTGGAACTGGAACAACATGGAAAGAGATATCCCCTCGGCCAATAAACAGTTCATGGACCTACTAAACTTGGATGGCAAGGAGATGGAGAAGGATGATATTTACTGGAGAGAAAGCTCAGGACTTTTCTCGGTTGCTTCCGCATATAATATTGCAACCGGTGCGATCAACAATTCCAACAGTCATTGGGAGAAAATCTGGAAGATTAAAGTACCTAATAAAATATGTGCATTTTTGTGGCTCTTACGGCACCAGCGGATCCTCACAAATGCCGAGCGAAAACGGAGAAGTTTCACTTGGGATGCGAGCTGCAGTTGCTGTGGTCACAATGAAGAAACAATTGACCACCTCTTCCGATACTGCAGGGCGGCAAAGGATGTCTGGAGGGCGTTCCTACCTGGCACAGAAATTATGAGACAGGATACTTTAGATTTTGAGAGATGGATGGACGACAACATCAGTGGCAAAATTAACACTCGGGAACAGAGCAATTGGAAAGAAGTTTTCGCCATTATTCTATGGTGGATATGGCGTTGGAGGGGCAATCTGGCTTTCAACAATGAAGACTGGGATGCAATGCGCAAAGTGGATTGGATCAATACGTATGCTGATCAGACTACCAAGGTGTTCCGAAAACAAAGGGAAGTTCACTTCATGATGATAAATAATCAACATGGTAAGTACTCCGTTGTGAATACTGATGCTTCTTTTTTTAATCTTGACAGGCCTGCGGGATGTGGAGGATTAATGAGAGACGCGAATGGCAATTGGAAGAGAGGCTTTAGTTGCATTGCAAAAGCCGACACTGTGGCAGAAAGCGAAGCTTGGGCACTCTATCTCGGAATCAAATGGGCTTGGAATAATGGAGAGAAACGAGTTCGTTTCCTTTGTGACTCGCAAGAAGTGGTAAATTGGATCAACTCGGATACACAGATCCTCGGGCCATGTGGTAGAATCATTAAAGAGTGTAAAAGCTGGCTAGACAAGGATTGGGAAGCCAATGTTCAACACATTACGAGAGACCATAACAATGCGGCGGATGCTCTAGCCAAGATAGCTTTGAGAAGACAATGTGATTGGATTGAGTTCACAAACCCCCCGAATGAGGTTTTGAGCTATCTCCAAGCTGACGCTGCGAAGAGCTGCCTTACCAATGAGGCAATGAGAGCTAGGAATTAGCCTAGCTGGGTTCTCCCCTCCCCACCTTTTCAAAAAAAAAAAATATTAAAATTAGTTTTTCCTATTTAAAAACTAGTCTTTTGAATTAGCAAACGTACATCTTAAAAGTGTAAATAAATAATAAAAATACATAATAACTAACTAATTAATTACTTGATTTTTTTTTTTGGGTGAATTTGGATTTCAATATATGTTTTGAGCTTATTTAATATATACATATAGTATGATTAAAAAAAAATGAGAGGGGTCAATTCCATTTGGAAGGTTGTGAGTTCAAGTCTCAGTGGTTATTGGCTCTTTGTGTTTCAGTAGGTTGAGAAAGTATATGAACAGATACTACAATGTAATAGAGCTAGTAACATTCAAGAAAAAAAAAAAAATTTAGTAGTTACAACAAAAAATAATACATATACATTTCTTTAATTTAGAATTATGTGTTCACAATGTCTTTATTCAAAAAAAAAAAATTATTCATTATCAATAGATTAAATAAGATAAATAATTTTATTAGTTATATTGTCTTTATTTTTCTTTAATATAAAAATTCTTTATATTCAAATTTATTAATTGATTATATTCGCTACCAGCGAATTTATTTAATTATTAACATTGGGTAGAAAAAATGACCGCCAAATTATTAAATCAAATGAATGGTTCATATTGTTCAGGTTTTAATTTTTTTCTTTTAAGATTTTCTAATTCATCCTTAATTATATGATTATCCATTTAACTTTTCCGTTAATTCACCGTTAGTCTAATTCTAATATTAAAGTCTAATATAGAATTATAACTACACCATTAATCTAATTCTAATATTAAAGTCTTAATAGAACTTAACCACAAATCCTAATGTCGGAATCTCCTCAAACAATATTAGTATATATTTCATATTTTATGCCCTAATTTTTATTTGTTCTCCCTTATGTCCCATATTTGGTTTCAACCATACGTCCATACCTATACAATTATTTTATTGACAATTATAATCAATATTGATTATATTATCTTGCATTTGTAAACTTAGAATTACCTATTTAACCCGCACGGGCTTAGCTCAATGGTTTAGTGGGTAGTATTTAGGAGAAGAGACCAAGGTTTGAACCTCGGCGCCGGCAATGCGGGAATTATGTCCAAAGTGGGCAGATTCCTTGTGCGTACCAGCATTTGGCCCTGTCTGCTGAACCATTGAGTCACCGTGATTTACAACTTCCCACAATGCTCTGTCGGGTCGGAGTGTGGGGGGGGGGGGGGGCCTTGGGGTTGGGGACTCAACCTTTGGGAGAAGAATTACCTATTTAAATACGCAAATTCAACCTTCAATTATCTATGCATGAACAATTTCAATATAATCTTGCCTTAATATACTTTAAAGTACTTATTTTAAAAAAAAAAAAAAAAGCATTGGGCATTATCCCAATCGCGCAATGCGCGTAAAAAACTAGTATGAATAATAAGTTAGATACTTACTAGTATTTGTTTCATTGTAGGCAATCACATTATCACAACTAAGTTGATAAGACAGTTAGTTTGGTAACTACAAGATATCAAGTTTGACTCCTCATAAGAGCTATCTATTGGCTATCTTGATTTTAGTTAGTCAACTATAAACAACTTAAATTGATTTATTTCTTTGGAGTCTTTGCCAGTTAATGTCATAAGTACATACTACATAGTGTAACACATGAGAATGAATTTTCTGTAGCGCAGCCAAACTTTTTTATTTGGGATAAATTTTGCTGAGTATGACATCTCAGGATATATTTGTTTGGATGTCCAATTAATAATGTTAGAGTGTGCTAATTTCAATTGTCTAGTTTTTTTTTTTTTTTTTTTTTTTTTTTTTTTTTGTTAATTAATAATGTTAGTGTTTAGTAATATTAGAAGTATTTTAATAGAGTTAATACCGTTTGAGGTCCTCCGAGTATAGTGATTTTGCCACATTTAGTCCTAAACTTTCAAATTGACCATATGTGGTCCTTCGACTTTCAAATTTAACCATTCGTGGTCCAAGTTAACCACCCATGGTCCTTCAACTATTAAATTTTAACCAACCATGGTCCTTTCAAGAGGATCACACCTGGTTAAGTTTTGAAACTTGAAGGACCATGGGTGGTTAACTTGGACCACAAATGGTTAAATTTGAAAGTCGAAGGATTACATATGGTCAATTTGAAAGTTTAGGACTAAACGTGACAAAACCACTATACTCGGAAGACCTCAAATGGTATTAACTCTATTTTAATATTTCTTGTTGTTTGCTTGACTATAAACCCAAGTAGTCACTCCAACTTAAGTTAAGTACTAAATCTATTTTAACATGAAAATCAATAGAGAATATTTTATGCTTTTGCTGCGATCTTTGCATAGACAGATTTTAACAATGCAAACCTTTTACACATTTATTACGGAGTATTAAAATTTCATACAACAGACGTTAAATAAATTTAATTACCATACTGGACAAAAGAAAATAGTCCATAATAAACATTTAGACTTTATTATTATTCAATATTCATAAAAGAGGAGGTAATGGCAATTGGTTAAAAAGATACATGCAGGAGTGTTTCTATAAGCAAATATAATGACAAATTCATAAAGCTGAGGCTATCAACTACTATGTAGTATGATGATAACACCTCTATTATTATGCAGATATGTAATACTTTTTCACTAAAATATACAAAGTAATATTTAAATAAAGTTGAGGCCAGCTTTCATATTTTCAATACTGAGACGTGTAATACTTTTTATTATAATGTAATTTTTTTATATAAATTTATAGAAAAATATTATATTTTAACTAAAAGTATTACACGTCATCTTATAGAGACGACGTCATACAATATTTGCTTGGTTTAATTGGATGGCTCTGATGGAGGAACGCCGCAAGAGCGATTGTTGAAGCCGCACCTTCGAGGCTTTGGTCGGGCACCAATACAGCTGCCATATCTACGATTATTACATATGGGCCCTTTTTTCAAAGGGTTACCTATAGGATGACTTCCTGTGACAAATTAAATAAATAAATAATCATAATTTATAGGAGGATTGATCAATTCAAAAACTTTTGAGTAGCATAAAGTTAACGGTATGTGTGTGCATGTGTGTGTTTATATAATCCGATATATATATATATATATATATATATATATATATATATATATATATATATATATATATATATATATATATATATATTCAAAATGAAATAAAAAATAGAAATATACCCTGAGTTTCATCGGACAGTTTCCGAGCACATGTGAGGGGAGAAACAATGAAGAGAAGTATGAAGAAAAGAGAAAAGAGCTTGGCATTCATGGCTGCTGATTGGCTGAGATATATGTGTGTGTAGATTTTGTGTATACATACAACTGAGCTATATATGCCCCCTTTTATAGGCATATATATATTGTGCATCTAACATTTCTCAAAACACAAGACTTTTCCACACTGGCGTGCCTGGATTTATCTGTTGTGATTGTTCTCCATCATTCATTATTTTTGCAACTTGCAAGGTGATGCCATCACCATGACAATATAATCATGACATAAGCACATTACAAGACATTATACTATGAATCTATGATCCTCATTACCTTATTTATCCAGCTCATGTTGTGGAGATCAGTGGATGAAGTAAATTATGGGATGTGTCTCAACTGGCCAACATGTTCCAAATGCTAAGCCAAATTCATATATATACCATGCAACTGCTACTAAAGTAAAACTTATGAGTTTATTTTGATTTGATTGACCAATTAAATTGTGCCCAGAATATTTTAAATGCAATAGTTTAACTGTATAAATAGTGATATATTGTACATTAAATGGAATCATAGAAAAATGTCATACTCTATTCTTGCTTCAACTTCTGTTTCCCTCCCACTCATTCCTTATCCTATTCCCCCTTTCGGGAGTCATCACACATTCTAAGTGTAAGCATATAGAGATGGTGCCTACATAAAATTTACCTATCGGTTATGATTTTATTAAAATTATAACACAAGTCAACATATAAGTCTTCACACATGCATGGTCACATGGAAGGATTAAGACGGTTCAAAAGCTATCGGTCTCGACAAGTCCACCCAAATTCGAGGTTTCTAATTTTTTAAATTTTGATAGAAATTAATTAAATATCTCATATATATATATATATATATATATATATATATATATATATATATATATATATATAACGTAATGCATAAGACCTATGGAGGTTTGAATGAAATGACGTGGTTTCTTTCTGTTTAATCATAAATCTCGTATTTAATTATTTTGTTTACTGGTTGAGCAACTCTATGGTCAGACAAACCTAACAAAAAAAAACATTTTAAATTTGTAATACATGATGACTTTGTGTTTAGCTGAGTAGAAAGTGGGGGAAATAAATTAAAAGAGATTAATGTGGAAAATAAAAGAACAAAAAGGTTAGGATAGCAAAAGAAGATAAAAGGGCAAGAAATATAGACCAAATATATTTGTGTGGATCGGAAAATGAAAATATCTAATGATCGAGATAATATTGTTGTCTTTTGGAGACAAAAGCATTTGATAATATGTCGGCTATTATTATCTTTCTTGAAATTCAGAATGTTTTGGAATAAATATGTACGATTTCATTTATTGGAATAAGTATATATAGATTTTTATGACCTTTTTGCCATAAAAATTACCCTTTACCTAATTTTATATTATAAATTAAGGTTTTTAAGAATAGTCTTATTAGCTATTATAATTAACTAGTAATTCACCCGCGCGATGCACGGAAAAAAATTATGTTATTATAAATATAAATAAAAAATAAAAAAACTAAAATATTTTAAATTATTTAATATAATAATATTTTTGAGCTTCCATTGGTCAAGTATTTATTATTTTTATAGAATACAAAATTACAATTAAAATTAAAATTATAATTTTTTATGGTTAATATAATCTCTAATTATGTGCATATTCAAATAAATTTATAGAGAGAATTTACATAATTACATCAATTTATTCTTAATTGTATTTCATCTATATTATAATTTTCACAATACGAATAATAACTAAGATAATTACATTTGAAAAGCAAATTTTAAATTTTGTAGGTGTAAATTTAAACTCTAATTGAACACATTTTTTATATGATTATATAATATATAGCTATTTTATTTTTTAAATGTTGTGCTTTATATATATATATATATAATAAAGGATGTTGTTGCATTAATTGTAACATTAAATATTTCCCAAACCATATAGCTTTATTATATAAAGGATTAGTTAATTGCATATTATTGTTTAGAAGTAAAATCTTATCATTATATATGATGGGGATATTGGGCATGGACTAAAACTTATTGGGTTAGCGTTATTGGGCCGCAGATGGACCGAAGGGGAGTGGGCCGGTGAGATGGGGGTGGGGGTGTCGCCGCCAATGGGGGATGACCGGTGCCGGTGGCCGGAGGGGGTCACCGACTGGGGCGCTGGCCCAGCTGGTGACGACTTGCGTGGGGGTAGTGTGCGGCACCGTTGGCCGGTCTCGGCGTTGGCAACGCGTCCCTATGCGTTCATGATCCAATGAACGTGGGGGGTGACGTGCCGGCGTAACAGGGGGTGTGGGGGGAGTAGCGGGTGAAACGTGGGACACGTGGCTCTTGCCGGGAGGAATGTCAATCTTGGGACGTACACGTGGATGGTATAGGATGGGGGGAGCTAAGTATGCTATAAATAGGGGGTTTGGATTCCTGACATGGCATGATTTAAACACTATAGGCACTAAGGTCTAATGGTCTGTGTTTTGTATTTTTAACCTTCTCACCTAGGTTCGATTCTTGTCAGTAGCTTACTAGCGCCCCGGGTAATAAAGCTATAAGCTATTGTTTTCTTACCCGCGTTCTATATTTCTATACCCGTTTATGGTTAGTTGACAATTTTTATCATAATGAACTTCACTTTGATGGAACCAAGTTTATCATTATTATTAGCCTGCGTGGTTCACTCTTAATTTTTAATTATTGTAAATAAATAATAAGGAATATATAATGATAGATGGGTCACACTTGTGAGAAACTGTCTCACAGATCCTTGGTGAAATGGGTCGGACATTATTGAAATGTAATACTTATACGGAAAAATGTAATACTAATAAGGAATAAAGTGCTTAGCTTGTTACTTATAAGCAAAAGTGTAATACTTTTGATGAAAACTGTTATAATTTTACATCTCGATGTAAAACTATCACTTTTGTTATACCCTTTTATCTTCCCCATCCTCCTATGCTTTCCACCAGTGATAGTATCAAATGATGAATGTAATTGTTCTACCATTATTACAGGCCTATTCCATTAACACTATTTTTAGGAAGAGATCAGAAATTACTTATTATTAATTTATTATATTTTTAGACTTTGTAAGTGTTGGAAAAAATGCTTGTAATCTGTAATACATTTGAAATACAACAAAATACAGAAAACAACAGGGAACAAAAAAGTGGATCATTTGATATCTTCAGGCATGTAATCACTTTCCTATAAGCTTTAAATCTCCTTTTATAAAAGCAACAAGGTTCAAGATTTAATCTTATGGGATACAAGAAGATGAATGAAATTCTTAAGTTGCTTTGTTTAAGAATTTCCCGTAGAATTGTAGAACTGTGAAATATCAAGATATGCAACAAAACAATCAAATTTCCCTTAATACAAGAATTCTCTCCATCTTTTTCGTGCATGCAGTGAGATCACGATCTCTTCCGGCGATCGTTTCCGATCGTGCTTCTTGAACGTGGCCTTCTCTACTAGTGGTGCCTAGGGGAGTTTCTCCCTAGTGTATCTAGGGCTCTTATTTTAATAGCGATGGATTCCAGTCATCTTCACGGCGAGCGATCTGTGAGAATTCTCTACGTTGTCTGTATCGTTTTTGTTCCGGTAATTTATTCGTGTTTATCGTGTGTCGACGGCTGCAACATGGCTATGCGATCGACCCCAAATCTCAGCCTGCTCGAAGATAAGTGGGCGGATCTATCTTTAGCGGATGAAGATAACGGTGGCCTGCCAACACCGGATATCCAGGTGGGCATTGGAGACACATCACAATGGGAATTGGTTGGGCGTTTCCTCACCGATCGTCCGATCAAATTCGAACATATGCAGCAGGTGATGGCATCGGTCTGGAGGCCAGTCATGGGCATGCATGTCGATTTGTTGGATGAAAACCTGTTTGTGTTTCATTTCCCTCATCACAAAGATATGCAACGGGTGCTTGACGACGGTCCGTGGTCGTACGAGAATAATCTGTTGGTCTGCGCGCAGATCAAGCCGGGGATGCGCCCGGATGAAGTGGTTCTTGACAAGGTTCCTTTTTGGGTCCAAATCCATGGCCTGCCAACGATCTACACATCGGAAGATTTCATCACCAAGATCGGTGATCATGTTGGCACTTTTGTGTCGATGGACCCGAACAACTTCGGGGGTACATGGCGTAGTTACTCCCGGATCCGCACACTGCTGGATGTGAATCTCCCACTCAAGAGGAGAATGAAGCTTCTACGTAGGGATGATACATCCCAATGGATTACATTCAGGTATGAGAGGCTCAACCTCTTTTGTTTTTGCTGTGGCATCTTGGGGCATACAGAAAAATTCTGTAAGAAAGTCTACGAGGAAGGGATAGAACCGGAGGCATTCCCGTTTGGGGCATGGATGAAGGCGGGTCCGAGGAGACAAGTTAAGCCGATCGGAGCTAGATGGCTCCTACCATCCAAGACCAAGACATATGTACCGGCGGCTAGAGGAGTGACGCCGGATGTCGCGTTGGCAAGAGTGGAAGAAGGCAGTGGGTTGCATGGGGACCTAAAGAGACGTAGGGAAGGTGATGAGATAGTTGGGGAAATTTCGGGAAGTGGCGTGGTGATGGAAGAACATGTAAAATCATTTGATAAAGCGGGGCTGGGAACTCAGCCCTGCGAATCACAATGAGCATTTTGAGTTGGAACTGCCGGGGTTTGGGTGGCACCCGGACAGTTCGTGAATTGATGAGCTTGGTAGCTCATCGGCGACCCAGTATTGTTTTTTTGATTGAAACACTAGCAGTTAAAAGTAAGATAGAGAGTTTACAGGTGCAATTGGGTTTTAAGGGTATGCTGAATGTGGATCGTGAGGGTCGAGGTGGAGGCTTGGCTTTGTTATGGCGGGATACTGACATGGTGAACTTCTTGAGTCTTTCCAAACACCATATTGACGTGGAGATATATTTACCGGAGAAACCATTGTGGCGTCTTACGGGCTTTTATGGACATTCTGATCAGTCCATGAGGCACGAGACGTGGGATCTTCTACGACAGTTGCGTGATCAGTCACCGCTTCCTTGGGTGGTTCTCGGAGATTTCAACGACATCTCGTGTCAATCTGAGAAACGTGGTTTGCGTCTCCAGTCAAAATCGCTCATTGATGGTTTTAACTCAGCGTTAAATGATTGTTCATTACTGGACCTAGGGATGTCGGGCTCTTGTTACACATGGGAAAGAAGTCGGGGAACGGCAAATTGGGTGGAGGAGCGGCTTGATCGAGCGGTGGCTTCGTTAGAATGGATGGATATTTACGAGAATGCGGAGGTACACAATTTGCTAACCTTCGAGTCCGACCATAATGCTATTTTTCTGGACTTGGAATCCCGACCGGTTCGGCGTGCTTGGAAATCCTTTCGTTTCGAGTCAGCTTGGCTTTTGGAGGAGGGATGTGGCAAGGTAGTAGATACGGTGTGGCGACAGTCTTCCGGCATGGACTTTCAGCAATGTCTAAGCTTATGTGCGACGCATTTGGGTAGGTGGGGAGGGGAGTATAATCAGAAGTTTGGTCGGCGTATTACAATATTCCGACGTGTATTGGAACAACTTCGAGATAGCAGAGTTCACGAGACAGTGCAACAATATATGAAGGCCGAGGAGGAGTTGAATATATTGCTCGACCAAGAGGAATTATTCTAGAAGCAGTGCTCTAAGCAACTTTGGCTCAAACATGGGGATTCAAACACAAAATATTTCCACAAGATGGCCTCTTTCAGAAAACGGCGCAATACTTTGTCCCGTCTAAAGGATCCCCAGGGAATTTGGCAGGAAGGAGCGAATTTGGACGCTGAGGTACTCAGGTATTACAACTTTATTTTTCAGTCCGAGTACAGTGCAAATAATATGCTTGATCGGGTCCAACTAAGACTCACCGACGATATGAACGCTTTCTTAAGACAACCGTTCACGGTGGCCGATGTTAAGGCTGCTCTTTTCTCCATGGCCCCGGAGAAAGCTTCGGGACCAGATGGGATGACTCCGGCCTTTTTCCAACATTTCTGGCCAGTTTTGGGCCATGATCTAGCCATGTTTGTATTGAATTGTATCTCAACGGGCCAGTTTCCCGAGGGGCTCAACGAATCGAACATAGTTTTGGTTCCAAAAAAGAAGACACCGGAAAAAGTCACGGATCTGCGGCCAATTGCACTGTGCAATGTGGCCTATAAGGTCATTGCGAAAGTCTTGGCAAATCGATTAAAAGGAGTTTTGGACACGGTGGTTTCGCAGTCACAAAGTGCTTTTGTGCCTAACAGGTTACTTACAGATAATATAATTGTTGTTGGGGAAGTGGGTCATTTCCTTAGGCGAAAAACGAACGGAGCTTTGGGGTGGGCGACTCTAAAGCTCGACATGGCCAAAGCCTACGACAAGATGGAATGGGACTACCTGAGCGGTATGTTACATGCGCTTGGCTTTGAACGGAACTGGATTGAGCTATTATTACAGTGTGTCACCACGGTCAGTCTGTTTTTTTTCAGGGCTACAAATGAGGAAGCTATGTCTGTCAAGGGATGTCTTGATAATTACAGTGCAGCATCGGGGCAACTTGTTAACTATGATAAGTCTAGCATCATATACAGTGCAAACACGAGGGTTGAGACACGTGAAATGATTAACGTATGCATGGGGGTCCGTGAGACGACTGACTTTGGACGTTATCTAGGACTACCTTCGATTCTGGGGCGTAACAAGTCGGCCACTTTTCGCTATATTGAGGAGAAGGTTTAGGAGCGTTTAGGGACTTGGCAACATCGGCTGTTTTCGAGAGCAGGTAAAGAAGTCGTGCTCAAAAGTGTTGCGCAGGCCCTCCCTATTTTTACTATGTCTATCTTTTTACTTCCAGGGCGGCTGTGCGATAGAATAGAAAAGGCTTTCAATCGTTACTGGTGGGGCGGTGGTGTGTCGAATGGCAGAGGTGTACATTGGATGAGCTGGTCTCGTTTAAGTGTGCCTAAAAGTCGAGGGGGGATGGGCTTTCGCCGGCTGCACGAGTTTAATATTGCTCTTTTGGCTAAACAGGGGTGGCGTCTACTGACTTCCCCGCACTCTTTGGTTAGCCGCCTTCTAAAAGCGAAATATCATCCGAAATGTGAGTTTATGGAGGCCAGCATTGGACAAAATCCTAGTTACATATGGCGGAGTATCATCGCAGGGCAGAATGTTTTGCGTATGGGTTTAGCACGTCGCATCGGGGACGGCAAAGACACAAGAATTTGGGGCTGGCCTTGGCTGGCGGACTCTACTGTGACCAGGCTGAGTACCCCTCCGCCGGATGCTTTACAGGAAGCTACGGTCAATGGCCTCCTGACTGATACTGGACAATGGGACGAGGAAATTCTCAAGGACCTGTTTGTAGAGTCTGATGTACGTCGGATTCTTGCCACTCCTTTAACGATTCATATGCCGGATTCTTGGCGGTGGATGGGTGATATCCGTGGAACTTACTCGGTTAAACATGGATATCAACTTTTGACACCTGATAACTTTGTGCATGCATCTGATGAGTTCAAAGCTTGGGAGAAGCTCTGGAGTTTGCTAGTTCCACCAAAGGTGCGTAACCTCATCTGGCGCTGCGCACGGGGTATTTTGCCAGTGCGTGAAAATTTGAAGACGAAACATGTGTGGATTGGGGGCGGTTGTCCACTATGTGGGCAGGCCGCGGAAACTGCTGAGCATCTGCTTGGGGAATGCTGGACTGCCCGACAGATTTGGGAGAAGGACGACGTTTTACAAGGGGCTTCCATCCCAGTGTTCCTTGACTCAGTTCTGTCCAGCTCAAACAGGGAGAGAGCGGTGCATGCGGCGGCTATTATATGGATGCTTTGGACTCTGAGAAACGATCGAGTATGGAGGGATAAGGCGTGGGATATTATGGTGGTTCGCGGTCACGTGGTTAGACTTATTTCCTTGTGGAAGGATGCTTACAAGGTCACTATCCCAGGGTTGGCATCGGCGGGGTTGATATCATTTGGGAACCTGCTCCACGATTCTGGCTAAAATGTAATGTTGACGCTGCTCTTCTGACTGATCATGTGGGCTTTGGAGCGGTCATACGGGATCATGGGGGTCAGTTCATAGCAGCAAAGAATGGCCGGTTGGCCTGCGTTCGGGATCCTTTGATGGCAGAGGCTTGTGCTGTCAAGGAAGCGCTTTCTTGGATTCGTGGTCTTGGCCACAATCACATGATCATCGAAACCGACTGTTTACTTTTTTGCAACACATTTAATTCTAGCTCTTCAGATTTCTCTTATGTTAATTCTATTGTAAAGCAATGTTTGATACTTGCTAATGGCATTGGGACCGTTGTGGTTCGTCCTGCCAAGAGATCAGCGAACCAAGTGGCTCATGTTCTTGCACGGGCAACTGATTCTTCGGCTGACTCGAGATTTTGGTCTTTTGTACCTCCTGATTGTATCGCCAGTTTAATGATTTAATGAAATATGTTCTTTTGTTTCAAAAAAAAAAAAAAAAAAAGATATGCAACAAGATAATTTTTTATCTCTCTTTGCAAATGTTTCTCCATAATATTTATAAATACAAATATGACTGTTGGAGAAGTTACATGGAAGGTTTCTGCAGTTTTAAAAACTTATCTTCCATAAAATATATCTTAAATGATATATTTATCATAAGAGAATATTAATTACATAAATCATGTTCAACATAAATATATATGTAATTATGAACCTTTGTAAGGTTGTGAACCGCATGCAAATAACTGTGCAAATATATTTCTATATATATATTATAATTTTCTAGCACACTTTTGCATGTAAGTTATATATCTTAAATGATATATTTATCATAAGAGAATATTAATTACATAAATCATGTTCAACATAAATATATATGTAATTATGAACCTTTGTAAGGTTGTGAACCGCATGCAAATAACTGTGCAAATATATTTCTATATATATATTATAATTTTCTAGCACACTTTTGCATGTAAGTTTGAGAAATTGAAAGCTTACGTGCTGTATAATCATTTTCCAAATGAAATACACAATTTACCTATATTGGAGAATAATCCTCCAATGTTGGGGAATAGAGAAAGCCTTCCAACAAACTCATTCTCTATATTAACTTTCTACCTAACTAAAATAATATTTATAACTCCGCAACTTCAAATATTATTTAAGCTTTCATGGTAGTCTATCTGAACCATTAATCTCCATTACTATATAAATTTCTAACAGTAAATGACTGGAAACCTTACTTTCAAGTTTCATCCACAATCTCATAATTTTTAATCACTTTTTAATAATCGGAAGTCACATACTTTTCCATGTTCCAAAAATATGCCAATATACTGATATAGCATTATACAAATATTACATTAATTGGATGGCTCTGTCGTCCCATGACAGTTGCGATTGTTAGGATCGCATTTTGGCTTTGGATTACTAATAATACAGTTGCGAATAATTTTAGAATTGCAGATGGGCCCTTTGTTCACAGGGCCTTTGTAAACCATATGGCCGCCGTTAGCCGCCATGTTTCCTGCAGCAGAGACTAAAACGAAGTTAGGTAAAATTTAATTATCTATCTGGTATAATAAAGTGATATAGATAATAATAAATATGTGATAATAACTTTGTAATAAAATCGATTAATTTATAGGGAGCGTTATGCTATGGACCGGTGTCTATTATGTATACGGTGGACACGCTGCACATTTATAATTTTTATACTGTACATAAATTTATATACTATAGATTTATAATTTCTATATTGTAGATTAATAAAATTTATAATGTAGATTCATAATTTCTATACTGCACATTCATAATTTCTGTACTGTAGATTCATAATTTCTACACTGCATATTCATAATTTTTGTACTGTAGATTCATAATTTCTATACTGTACATTCATAATTTATATACTGTAGATTCATAATTTTTATACTGTAGATTAATAAAATTTATAATGTAGATTCATAATTTCTATACTGTAAATTCATAATTTCTACACTGCATATTCATAATTTCTGTACTGTAGATTCATAATTTCTATACTGTACATTCATAATTTCTATATTGTATATTCATAAAATTTATAATGTAGATTCATATAATACAGAAATTATGAATGTGCAATATAGAAATTATGAATCTACAGAATAGATTTTATAAATCTACAGTATAGAAATTATGGATCTACAGCTTAGAAATTATGAATGTACAATATAAAAATTATGAATGTACAGTGTGTCCGCCATGTACATGGTAGACGGGTGCATGGTGGACACAGGTCCATAGCATAATTTGCCAATTTATAGATAGTGGGTTAATTACTTGCGTTCAAAAATAAAAGGGGTGAGAGGTGGAAAGGTACCTGGAGCTTCATTAGATAGTTTCCGAGCACATGTAAGGGGAGAAACAATGAAGAGAAGTATGAAGAAAAGAGAAAAGAGCTTGGCATTCATGGCTGCTGATTGGCTGATATATATGTGTGTGTAGATTTTGTGTATACATACAACTGAGCTATATATGTCCCCCTTTTATAGGCATATTGTGCATCTAACATTTCTCAAAACACAAGACTTTTCCATAGTGGCGTGCCTGGAATTATCTATTGTGAACTTGTGATTGTTCTCCATCATTCATTATTTTTGCAACTTACAAGGTGATGCCCCATGACGATATATAATCATGACATAAGCACATTATATACTATGATCATCATTACCTTATTTATCCGGCTCATGTGGTGGAGATTAGTGAGAGAGGTAAATCACAAGATATGTCTCAACTGACCAGCAATCACTCAAATGTTAGGCCGAATTTAGGAATAAGGTTCAAATTGCCCACTGAACGTAACCTGAAAATATAATTAGGCCACTTAATGAAAAAAAGTACAATTAGGTCACTGAACACTCAAAAAACGTGCAATTAGGCCACTGAACACTCCAAATGTATGCAATTTCACCAACAAAATAAAATGCCGGCCACCCCGTCATTTTTTTGTTATTTTTAATTTTTTTTAAAAATTTATTATTATAATTTAATAAAAACTATTAAAAATGCCAACTCAGCTGCCATGTAAGCAGGTAATCTGCTAAAATTGATGGTAATATGCTATCAGGTGAAATTGCATACATTTGGAGTGTTCAATGGTCTAATTGCACTTTTTTTTTTCCGTTCAGTGGCCTAATTGCATTTTCAGGTTACGTTCAGTCACCAATTTGAACCTTATTCCGCCGAATCTATGTACCATGCAACTGCTAGCAAAGTAAAATTTATGATCTTATTTTGAAGTGACTAACCAATTGGACTGTGCCTTAAAGCTTTAACTGCACTGTAGACACCGAAAATTTGAACTCGACAAATGGACTGACGAAATTGTTATTGGGCCGATGTTGAGATTGATTATTGGGCCATAATAATTAAGTTAGCCCAATTAAATTTTATTTGGGCTATATTGAATTAATTAATTGGTCCAAGCCCATTTCATATTTATATTTGAATTTGAATTACAATTATAAAATTATAATTATAATTATAATTTAAATATAATATAATTTTATTATATTTGAATTAAATAATTATAATTTAATTTGAATTTGAATTAGATGATAGAATAATGAACCTAGACTTAATTTTGACAATATTCATTGTATTAGATAATTAATTAATTAAATTAACTTAATAATAAAGGAGTTTGTTGAGGGATTTTGGTTAGACTTCTCACTATAAATAGAGCCTTCATTTTGATCCCAAGACGTAGTTGAAGACTAGAAGAACACTTGAAGAATTGAAGAGAAACTCTGGATTGAAGATCAAATCAAGCTAAAGTGGACTGAAGATCAAGCCAACTAAAGATCGGAGGCCCTTCAAGGCCCTTCAACGAGGATTAAGCAACAAAGCCCTTCATTGAAGAACAAGCCGCCTCCGATTCGCATTCCGGAGGCCCTTCAGCCAAAGTTTTCAAGTCAAGTAAATCAAGTGAAGAATCAGAGGACTTCTTGATAGTGACCTTGTACCCGCGCAATTTTGAAATTTGAATATATACTGTACAACTTTTCTTGTTCACAGACCTAATATAATTATATAATTAAATAAAAGTATTGTACTTGAAACGGAATCATTGAGAAATGTAAGCCCAACCTGGCTCTCGGTAAGCTGTGCTCCTGCCCAAGGCCCATCTCTAAAAGGGGCCCATATGAGATATAAATATATAATGGGGGCAAATTATTGTGGGCAAATTATATCGTGCATCGCGGTGCATAATCAATTATGCACCGCGTATCAAAACGACATTGTTTTATTTAATGAAAAGAAACGAAATCTTCGCAAAAAATAACTCTGTTCTTCAGTTTCAACAAACACTCTCGAGATACCAAAAACCCATTATGTCAATAGTGATGACTAAAGTTTCTAAGCTGTGGTCGGGGTTCAATGGAAGATCATCATCTGTAAACATGATTGATTGGTTCCACTTTCCTTCTGTTTTCCTTCGGCTCGGACTGAATAAGTATGACTTGTAATTCTCGCGACCACTGCCGCCGTTGCTCCACCGTGTCACCATAGCACGAGGCCAGTTGTATTTATCTCTAAAATAGAAGACAGTGCTCGTCTGCTCGAGTTACCCAGCCTGAGTGCAAAGCTCGGGAACTTCTTCTCGATACCAAAGACGCTGCATAATAGCTCATTGATAAGTGCAATTTTTATAACTTATTTCATAATGATTGACTTAATAATTTTTATTAATTCGTTATATTTTTATCTTATTTTATTAAATTATTGCACTTTTATTTACATTAATTATATTTTGTAATAATTTTTATAATATAAAACTAATAATAGTAGTAGTTTAGTTATAGTCGGTCACGGAAGAATAGGGAAGCGGTTGAAGTCTGAGCAGTAGCGACGCTGAAGAGGAAGGATGATCAATCTACTCCGGAGCAATTCCGGTCGGTACGGCTGGGTTGATTTTCCGGTGAAGATTTCGGCGGACAGCAGTTCTGTTCGGCGGTGATCATCTCTGATCGGCGGTGACAGTCCAGTGAACAGCGGCGGTAGCTCCGAACTCTGTAAGGTGGTGAGCTTTTCTTCGCAGCAGCAGAACTCCTTGAGGACGGTGGCAACAACAATTAAATTCTTTGCTCCATCAATTTCTGGTTTCTTCTCTGCTCTTAATTATTTATTAACTTTTTTGCACTGTATCTTTCTGGAGAATGGGTTTTTATGATGTTTAAATTGGTGAATTTAAAGTCTTTGAATATTGTGTTTATTTTACACCTTTGAGTTACTGTGAATTGTGAAGTTACGAGCATTATTATGAAGCTTTATCACAATTGCTTTCATTCTTTTTCTTAATTTGCTCTAAATTTGTGGTTGAAAATTCTTAAATCCAAGCCTTTGAATTAAATTGCAGCTTAATGTTTAAGTATTTTGCTAATTGCTCTTATCAATGATAATAATGCCGAGTTACTGTGTTGATTGTTTTTTTGCCATTTCCTGTTATTTTCATTATGCACTGCTAAATATTTTTGTCTAGGAATACGATACGAAAACTTCGTATTAATTTGTCTAATCTTGCCAATCAAATTAAGTTTTATCTTTCAATATTACTTTGCTTTTGAGTTAACCCTGATCTTTGATATTCGTTTTTAACACTTTATATTATTTACTTGTTATTAAATCGCATTGTATCAATTTCTTGTGAGTTCGACCCTTGCTATTGCACATTATCACTTGATTCGTGCACTTGCGAGAACATAATTAAAATTTTTTATCAAATCTTAATTGTACCGATCGACCCCTAATCGGGTCGGGTCTACCCTGATGAGGTAGGAAGTGGTTGAGAATTGCCCTTTACAATATGCGGAGTACATACCAAGCATGCATACAGTTATATGCTTAAGGGATATCTTCCATCTAGTATATAATTTAATAATTGAATATATATAATATGTTAACTACAAGTACATAATACGTGATTTGTAATATTAGGTACATAATATATTAACTTCATTTATATAATATATTAACCACATGTATATAAAAGATGCTCCCTTTGTATATAATATATTAACCACATGTATAATATATTTTGTTTGTCATGTTTACTGATAAGTGTTAAAATGTGTCAATTTTATGGGGTATTTAGGAGTAATATTTTGCTATATTTAGAGTCTTTTGAGCCTATTACATGCTTAGAATAGCTTATTTTGATTAAAGTTAGGCACAAAGATCAATTGTGGTTACATTTGTGAAAAAGAGCAAAATATTGACATTTTTAGGACATTTCGGCAGCAATTCGGTAATTTGAGAATATCTGGAGCTAGGAATGTCCAAATGAGGTGATTCAAGTGGAATTGGATCGGAATTTCGAAGAACTACAACTTTCATAAAGACCACAAAGGCCAATTCAGACATCTAGACAATCAAACTTAACAAAAACCGTGTCAGGATTTCGAGTTACACTGATGTCACACAATGACGACGGAGTAAATGAGAAATAATGGGCTATTGGCGAGATTTTAAGGCAGGAAATTTTCAGATTTGAGGCAACCATTATCA